TACTGCTTAGTATTTGTCACCCACTGAGATGCAGGCAGAGCTACAGGCAGGTGCTTAGCATGTCCCCTCAGAACTGCCTTTACTGCACATACCCTCAGTCTGAACTCACCTGCAGTGGTCTGTAACCACAGGCTCTGCAGGAAAACTACCCCCAAAATATATCCAGGGATGAGAGACACAGTATACTCCTTTGGGGGTAAATGCCCTTTCCCTAATGGGATTTTGGCCTTCTTCACTCGAATTGCCATACTCCCATAGCTATATATCACAGCAGAGGTCCCAGGAAAACACTCAAGGTTGCCATAAATCAGAGAACATTCAGCTTCTGCATCCACCAGTGCCAGGACATGTTTACATTCACAGGGGATCAATGAATTGCTAATTCTACATGCAGCCTCCAGTCCCCACCACATCCCCCAAGGTGGGGACGTTGATCCCCCCTCAGTTAAATCACAATGCCAGATCATCCTTCTGTCCCCCAGGAAGTCTCACATGGATACAGGCCAGACATGGGGCTTTGCCTCTGCCTTCCATGTCCTGGACCTCATTGGCTGGAATTGCTGCTCTGGCTTTAATTGGTGCCACAGTTCTAACAAGATCCTTTTGTGCTTCCCATCAATTTTTTTTTCAATACCCTCATATATCAAATCAGCTCACATCTGGGTCCTTGAGACCTTCACAGGGCCCTTTGCACCTCTCCTTTCAGTCATGGCCCATATTTCCTTCCAGGCTCTTATTGTTTAATACTCCCCCAGATCTGCTAAAGCACAAGTAGCCTCACTTATGGATTGCCCTATGTGGGGGCCAAGAATAGTCACTAGGGACCCAAAGACAGATGGGGGAGCTGTATGCAGCACCAGGTTTCTCATTCCTATGATGAATAACTCCTCATTGGGACCCTGGGGATCCATATTATAGATTATATTTTTTATGCCCAGCTCCCATAACACCTCCTGGAGCTCTGCAGACATTTCCCAGCTAGCGGGTAAGTATAGCAAATTACCCTGATTATGCCAAACGGCCCTGATGGCTGCTGTCGGCCAATCCAGAAGCACCCGATTCCCTGAGACATGACAGGCACTTTGCAACCACTGCCAGAGGGAAGGGTAAGTTGTCAGGGAAGCCAGTCTACCCATTTCAGAGCCCAGCATAACAATGTTTTCCATCCCCATATCCCTAAGACACAAAAGCCATGTGGGCAGAGGTTCCGGCGGCTTCTGCCAAAACAAGATTCTCATGTCCACCAGCTCATTCAGGGTATAGGGGAGGAGCATGGAGTGCTTCACAACTTGGGGAGGGGGCCGCTCCTCCCCCGAGGAGCCCATGGTTGTTGCATAATTATTTTCTGAATTACAACCAGGCAGGCCTTTAATACAGAAGAGGCTGGTGCCTTGGGCAGTGGTCTCAGCAAGTTTTGCCCTCGCCCCCACGCTCTCTTCCTCTCCCAACATCTTCTCTACCATCTCCCAGGGCTGAAGACACTGCTTTTTCCTCCCCCTCCCCTACAACCTCCTGTAATGCGGATTCTGTGGCTGCCCCCTCCCTCACTGCTAACATATCTTCCAGAAGTGTGACCCATCTTCTCAATAATTGTCTCTCCTCCTTAAGGGCATCCCGTAGGTCATCACCCAGCTCTTCCAGGTGACACTGAAGTGTGTCTCTCTCCTGGATAACCCTTTCTTGTATCTCGACAAACAAACATCCCACAATCCGCCTGCTACACAGTCAGTCAGGGACTCTAAGCAGTCTTCTATCTCATGAGGGATAATTCCACAGCTTCTGGTGTATCTACCCTTCCCCCATTCTGGGGAAGGCCCCACCACTCTAGGAGGTGCTTTACCCTAGACCAATTTCCCCACTAGGGGCCTCCCAAGAGGAAGTCCTATGGATAGGGGGTTCCCAGGTGGAGCCACACCCTCCACCACTGCAGTCACTGGGGCCTCCCCACCATCCACAGGGGCAGCCTGCCCAAGGGTCACACCCACGAAGACGGATTTCAGGTTCAGAGGCCCTAGGGACTACCACCAGATGTAAATCCAGGGGGAATATCTCCCAGCCTGGGACAGATTACCTTTGAAACCAAAATCAAAGGGAGAAATAGAGTGAGAAAGTTGTCCCACAAGCAATTGTCCACTTCTGCTCACCCATGTCTCTCACCACCTGGCTGCAAAAAAGGGACCCCACTAAACTTCTTTGGTTCAGTTATACCTTGCTCCCCCTGCCCTTGTAATCACCTATTGATATGGAGATGGACTACTTCTCCCACCCTTGGAAAGACCTATTGATATGGAGACGCACAAGGCCAGGCGAGAGATTCTGGAAATACTGCAATTTTACCCACAGTATGGCAATCCCTCAAAAAATTAAACATAGAACTACCATATCACCCTGCAGTTCTGGGTATAAACCCAAAATAATTGAAAGCAGCAACTTGAACAGATATTTGTGTACCATGTTCATAGAAGCATTATTTCTAATAGTCAAAAGGTGGAAAACAACCCAAGAGTTCACTGTGGGTGAGACAGGATGTGGTGTATACACACAGTGGAAGGCTAATTCAGCCTTAGAAAGGAAGGAAATTCTTTTAGACCTTCAGGACATTATGCTAAGTGCAATAAGTCAATCACAAATAGACAAATATTGTATGATTCCATTAATATGAGATACCTAGAGTACCTTCATACAGACAGAGTAGAAGAGTGGTTGCCAAGGGCTTGGGGAGAGAAAAGAATGGGAAATTATTGTTTAATGGTTAGGGAGATTCAGTTTGAGAAGATGAAAAAGTTGTGTAGATGGATGAATGGTGGTGATGGTTGCACAAGTGAATGTACTTAATGCTATTAAATTGTACACTTAGAAATGGTTGGAATGGCACATTTTATGTAATGTGTATTTCATTCCAAAAAGCTTTAAAAAACAAAAAAGGACTGGTTTGATGCATTTTGAAGAAGTGTTAGGTCTACATATGTTGTTCTGTAAAGCATAAATCATGGGACACCTAGTGGGGACTCCAAAAGAATTCCCTTCCAAAATCAGCTAGATAATTGATTGCACTCAGGAATCAATCAATCAAGAAGATGGAAATTTTGCAGCAATTTTAAATTCGATTATAATGATGTTTTGTTTATTGTATGCATTCCTATTATCATCTACCTTGCCAAAAGCTTTACCTTGAAACACCACACAGAGAATCCTTAGAATGTTAAAGTCTCAGAAATAGGACAGAAAAAGATGCCTAGAAAAGCAGCAGAAGTCAGCATTTGCTGCTTGTTAGGCAGAAAAATAGATATGAGTGGGGTGGAGAGGGAATTAAGGCCAGTAAAGTCCACTTATAAGGGACTCAAAGAGTTAATCAGTTAAAGCTCAAAAAGCCAGAAGTAACTTGGCTTGGAATGTTTGAATATTCCCCAGATAAAAGAGGGTACCTCAGCATAGCTCATATCTTTATTGTGTTAAGCATGCAGGCCCAGCTGTAAACAACATAGCAAAAGGCAGGAAGGATTCCATGTTAAAGATAAGATTGCATTTTAAAATCCAGGAAGTTAAGAAGATTCTTAACTTACTCTTTAGCAAACAAACAATAGCTCAGCCCATCTTTGGGGCTGGGCAAGCAGTCTTGTTTGATATGCTCCCAGACCAAGACACCAGTATCCCTGGAAGAAATCAGAGCAGTAAATTTCTTGTGTTAAGCTAATTTTAAATATTCAGAGACCACTTAACAAGTCTGCATTCCCAGCCCTTTGTCACATTCCTGAAAAATTCTTAAAAGGGGGAACCCCCAACCTTTCAGCGCATACCTCTCTCTGAGGTCACCGCACTTTCTAAGTGCATCTTTGACTTTTTCCCAAACTTTAAGGGGTGCCTCTTCTCTGGGGCAGCCCACACTCCCCTTTCTCCCAGTGTGCTCCTTTTTGCCTTAAATAGACTTCTCACTGCCCAACTTAAAACGTTTTGTATCTGCGCTTTTCCAATGGTGTCTTTGTTACTTTGCTTTGTCATTCTAATCTTCCCCGATTTCCCTCAAACCTTCACTCTCTCTGTCCTATCTCAGACAAGTAGGGAGGGGCCACTGAGAGCTCAGATGTGGGCTTGCAAATTACCAACGCCTAGGTGACAGGGAACTGCAGCTTACAGTCATGCTCTTTAGTAGCCTGCCTGAAAGTCTCCTTTCTTCACCTATAGGAAGTTCACAGAATGTAATCTCACTCCATCCAGTGCTCTGCAGCTCCCCCAAACCCCGGGGTGGTAGGGACTCAGTTCCCATGCTGCACAGATCCAAGAGGACACTGGACGCCAGGTGACACTGGCATGAGGAGTTAGCAGGGGACGTGCCCCATGCTGAGTAGCAGTTCAATGAACTTCCTTTACCGCTGTTCTGTCATTCCCTGACACTCACTTTAATGAATTCCTTCCTCACTATGTACTCTGACTTCCCTGCGTCTCTGAACCAAATTTCCCCAATACTGCTGACTTTTCTTTGCTTGGTTCACTTCTAAGAGCTGCCCACATACCATTCCTGCTTTATCGCTAGGGTTTGGGTGGTGAATAAATGCTAGACTGGATTCTAATGATTTCCTAGTGAGACAGGGACCATGGGTTTAGACAGAGTAGGGTGAAGGCCCCCAGAAAAGGCAAGGCAAGACAATACAGTCAGAGCAATGTAACTATATGCAAGGAAACCCCCTACCAAACTCCATGTTAAACAGTAAGCTCTAGACTCATTCTTCAGTGAGATCAGTTAGTATTTCCCAGATAAAGGAAAGTGCCCATGTTTTCATTATGCTAATCATTTGTAATCATGTGTAAGATCACTTTAGCATGCTAAAAGACCCACGCCTGTGTGCTGTTTTTCCTCCTTCAGACATGATCAGGTGATTTGCAACCAGGGCAATTAATAAGGGCAAGCAAGCCCAGCCATAAACAACATAGTAAAAGCAAGAAATATTCCATTTTAGATGGCCTTTTAAACTCCTTAGCATACAGACAATAACTCAGCCCACCTTGACGGCAGTGCAGGCAGTCTTGATTGATGACTGATATGCTCCCAGACCAAGAAGCTGCTATTCTGAGAAACAAACTCCAGTAAATTTCGTATGTTAATTTTGCAGAATTATCTGGAAGACTGAGGAGAAAAGAGACTTAATGTCTCTTCAAGGATGAACATTCTAGGACCACAACAGGTCCACACCACCAGCCCTTTATCACGTTATAAAAACCTTAGTGCACGACCACAGACTCTCTTGTCCCCTCCTGGCTTGAGCCAGGAGCTCTGTCCTCTCACTTTATCTCTAAAAAAATAAAAGTCTCTCCCTTGCTCTCCTACTTTGTTTGCGAAGTTCATTCTTAGGCTCCGTGAACAAGAACCCCGGCATCACCAGCTTCTGAGACTGCGTCTGAACATCGCACCCGACACCACGGACCAGTGCTCAGGCTGGAAAGGGGGCGGTGGGTCACGTCCCACAGCCCGTTCTGGCCCCCACAGCCCGAGGAGCACCGCGCTCCGCTCTCCCACATCTCCCTACTCTCTCCCCTCATCTCGCCCAGCTGGCTTTCGACCATCTTTTTTTCTTTCCTCTGTTCCTCTTTCAGGTGATGAGCTCCTGCGAGCACAAGCTCAGCACAAACCATGCATTCGTCTTCAGAGAAATTCCTGCCTCAGCAAAGGCGAGAATCCGCGAGGACCCCGACACGAGCTGCCCCGGAAGGAGCAGCCGCGCCGCAGGATTGCGGGGGCCCGGGCTCCACGCTCGGGCGGCAGCCGCGGCGGATGCCGGCTCCCCACCGGGAACAGCCTCCCTACAGCTCCCGCCGGGAGCGGGCGCAGCTGGCAGCCGCGGCCCGGCCGCTCCGGGGCCAGGGTCGCGTCGGGTGACGGAGCGGGCGCGCGCCCGCGGCGGGGCCGCCCACCGGCTGCAGGAGGACCCGCCCCGGCCCCGCCCCGCCGGCCCGGGTCCGCAGCTCGGCCGCTCGCCGCCACTCTCCGCCGCCGCCGCCTCCTGCCCGCCGCCCTGCGCTCGCGCCCGCTCCCCGCCCCGCGGCCATGGGTCCCCGCGCGCTGGCGCTGCGGCTCCTCGCACTGGGCGCGCTGCTGTGGCCCGCGGCCGGCGCTTGGGAACTCACCATCCTGCACACCAACGACGTGCACAGCCGGCTGGAGCCGACCAGCGAGGACTCGAGCCGGTGCGTCAACGCCAGCCGCTGCGTGGGCGGCGTGGCGCGGCTCTCCACCAAGGTGCAGCAGGTCCGCGCTGCCGAGCCCCACGTGCTGCTGCTCGACGCCGGCGACCAGAGCCAGGGCACCATCTGGTACACCGTGTACAAGGGCGCCGAGGTGGCACACTTCATGAACGCCCTGCGCTACGATGCCATGGTAAGAGGGCTCCTAGCCACGGATGCGCGGGGACCCGCGGGCGGGAGTCCCGGACTCAGAGAGGAGCCGGGTGCCGAAGCAGCAGATTAAGCGGCGCAGGTCGCGAGCTGCGACCGGGACGCAGAGCGATGTGGGGAGAAAGCGAGACTGGCCAGCGTGTGGGAGCACTGGCAACTACCGAGCGCCAGGATCCAAAGTAGACCCGCCCCTGTATTAAAAGAATGTTGCATCTCGATTATTGTAAGGTAAACATAGGGTCAAAGAGTTTGTGTACATTGTCCACTATGAGTACATTCCACTGACACTAAAAGAATTGTACTCCACATCTCTGACTCTGCAGCTTGAGCATGACTAAGTTCACAGGCTTGGGCTGGATTCCTGGCTCACCTACCTTCTGTGTGCAAGTTGCTCTCCGTGCCCCTATCGTTCTCATCTCTACAAAATGGGATAATAATATCCATCTCAGAGCGCTGCCTGGCACACAGTATGGTCTCTGTAAATGTTACTTCTTATTATTACTAGGCACTACTCTACAGGTTTAGAAAAAGAGTAGAAAAGAAAAGAAAAATCTGCTGCAAGTTCCAGAAAGAACCAAAGTGCTGAAACACTGGGGATTTCAGTAAAATCAGTTTGCAGCAGAGACTTAGGAACAGAGTCCAATTTAAAAGATGCTCTTAAAACGTGTGCAAAAGTTTAAGTCCAAGCTCTCCAATGTTATGCTAAAGAGATGCCTTATTTGTTGGACTAAACTCCAGCAAATGAGCAGAAGGATTACACACGAATAAACAGGACATATATATATATGGTTTCTTAAACTGGGGACAAGAAATGAAACTTTAGAATTGGAAGAGAGCAAGAAAGGGTCCAGGGAAGTCTGTGAAGTCCACGTGTGCAAGGTGAGGAGAGCTGTGGTCCAGGCCTGTATACAGAGAGCTAACAAGACACTTTGATGAGAACAACATAGAGGTTCGCAAAGCTCAATGCTGTGTTTGTTTATCCTGGAAACTTGGGGAAAGGAAGACAGGAAAAGATAAGAGTGTGGTGTTGTTGGGTTTCTTGCCCAACAAGAAAGCTTATTTTAAAGAGATGAGAGGGCAGAGAGCTCCTCTCCATTCTGACTGTTGGTTTTAAGATTACCAGGGATATTGAACGCAGCTGCAACTTTAGCAGATCCCTAAGCCCCAGAGTTCATTTGGGGGACTGGCCAGCCTCTGGACTCTTCAGAACTCATGAGTCTGAAGAACTCTCTCTGGTCTCTTAAGCGTCGGTGCCTCCATTGATGCTTTGATACTTTGCATGTGGAAATGGCAGAATAAGTATTTTTTAACTGAATTTTTGCTAGCTATGTCTCTATTACCTCCGAAAAGGTTAGAATAAACCCTATGTGAGTTTGTCTTGATTTCACAAATAAACCACAAGGTAGTAAACTTTTCTTTTGGTGACACCCTCTTCTCCACAATGTGTAAACTATTTTCGGTGGGAAAAAAATGGAGAATTTCTAGTTTTCCCTAACATTTTCCTCTTTAAGTCAAATTGAGCTGATCATGTTAATTGTAGTATCAACTGCTAATGACAGGACACAGAGTGATGAGGCTGGAGCGATCTGCTGCAAGTTACAGCCCATCACTCCCGGAGTGCTTAGAATACTTGCTGTTGCATGGAGTTACTTTCTTTTAAATTTCGCTCAAAATAATTGGACTGGAGCCTAAGGAAAAATCAGCTATTATATAATGTTGGCAAAGGTAGATCCTGTGGCAAGGCTGATGGCCGTGTTCTTGATAACATTTCATCAGGACTTACTCTGCATTTCTGTAGTTTGACAAACATGATTTGACCTGCATAAACTTCTAATTCTTGTAATGCTTTAGCATGTGATAAAGCTCTGCCATATTCTTTTACAGGGATTTTTCACTGTCATCTTGCTTATACTACTATTGGAGAATTTATTGCTGTTCTGTTATTCAAGGTTCCCCATCGCATTTATCCATCTGCCATATCTTGAATCCCAGGAAGCTGGAGATTCAGATCTGAGTGGAACACAGCTGTGGAGAGACATCTCCAGTTCCCTAGAAACTAGAAACTGGTCGTGGTGAAAACCGCATCTAAAGACTCAAGGGTATGGAGGGCGAAGAGGAAGCTGCTAGAGTCTAGTTTAGCCCCAGGAGTTCTAGAGTGGTAGCCTCTGAGGAGGTGTAGACTTTCTAGATTTGCATGTCCAAAAGCTGCTGGGGCAGTTCTGATATCTCTGGAGGCCCCCCTGGACCCAGCTGTGGGGCAGAAAATTCTAGAGGGAAGATGTCAAAAGCCATTAGTTGGTGCAGCCGTCTTGGTGGGAGGATTTGTGTCCCCTGAGGCATAAAAAAGACACCTTGGGTGCACTCACAGTGAGGGGTTGGCCCAGTGACTTTCTTTGAGCCTCATGTTCCCTAAGTAAAACAAGAGGGGTAAACCCCACCCCACTATGTAGGATTATTGTGAGCAATGCACGAGAAAATAAATAATAAATGTCAAAAATCCCTAGCACCCTGCTGGCTCATAGTAAGTTCTCAGTAAAGGTTAGTACCATGCACCCTGCCCACCGCACCCCCAAAAAAAATTTGCAAGAAGAGAATATTTGGATTTGGGGGCTATTAGTCAATCTGATTCTGACTGCCTGGCACAATCTAACACCCCTCCTCCATCATCCCACCAGATTTTCTAAGTCCTGTTGTCTAAACTATTCTTAATGATTACTCATTGAGAAGACTTAGGAAATCTCCTCAAAGCATAAAATCAAAAGGCTTCATCTCCAGAGGTGGGATTCTCACCACTGAGGTGGACTGTGAGGAAGGGAGCCTCAGCAGATGAGGGCATCCTCCTTTCTAGCTGGCCCTGCTTCTGAGACCTGGCCCCTGAGCCCACTTCCTGTCCAGAGGACGACAGCCTTGGTCTGAACAGATTGTTCCCAGAAGCCGACCGCAGCAACCAGGTTGGGAACCAGGGCCCCTGCATCTAATTCAGGCAGATGAACAATAGGCAGCTCCATGCTGTCCACCCTCCCAGATAGGCAGCCATTCTAGGGCGGTTGATGTTTATGTTAGGTGCTTGTATTTTTAAGTTGTGTAACTCATCCAGTTACTCAGCTGATCTGTTTCTTACTTTTGTCCTAAACTGGTTGTTTTTACTATTTGTCCAAGTCACTCAGTGTCCACTTTGTACAGATACTGGGTATTGTGCTCCGTGGAGATCGCCACAAGTTTTACTTTCTGCTCCCCTGGTGATGGGTTTGGAAATAGCACAAATTATGAGGCAATTCCGCAAATATCGCTGCTCCAAATAGGTTCACGTGAGGTTTTCCTTAGAATCCACACCCAAGTGCAGAACTGCTGGTCACCGGGTTGTGTGTACATTGACTAAGGACTGCCAAATCGCATTCCTGTGGACTGGAGACTCTCCTCTCCCTGCCCCACATTATGCAGATATGAATCTGGATCCTTACCTTGCAACATTATCCAACTTTTCAGCAGGTGTAAAGTGACATCTCATGGTTTGATCTTGTATTTTCATAATAACTAGTGAGTTCAATATGTTTGTTAACTTTTGGGTTTTCCTCTTTTTACATGCTCACACCCTTTGCTCTATTTTTAAAATTGAATTTGCCATTTCTTGCTCTTCAGGGGCTCTAGGCATTGATCTGCAATCAATTTTAAACATTGCAAATATCTTCTTTCCTTATTGAAACATAGTTGATGTACAATATTATATTGGTTTCAAGTATAGAGCACAGTGGTTCAACAGTTACAGACATTATTAAATCTTTACCACAACAAGTGCAGTTACTATCTGTAAACACAGAAAGATGTCACAGAACCATTGACTATATACTCCAAGCTTCCTCACCATCCCCCTGACCAACTAATATTATGACTGAGAATTTTGTGCCCCTTTATCCCTTTCACCTACCCCACTCACCCACTCTAACCCCTCCCCCATGGTAACCACCAGTCACTTCTCAGTGTTTATGAGTCTACTCCTATTTTGTTCATTTTGCTTTGTTTCTGTTTATATTCCACAAATAAGTGAAATCGTATGGTATTTGTCTTACTCAGCTTGGCCTGCTTCACTTAGCATAATACCATTCAAGTCCATCTGTGTTGTTGCAAATGACAGGATTTTATTAATTTTTATGGCTAAATAATATTCCATTTTGTATATGTACTACCTTTTCTTTACCCATGCATCTATTGATGTATACTTAGGTTGCTTCCATGTCTCAGGTATAGTAGATAATATGGCAATAAACATAAAGGTGCATGTATCTTTTCAAATCAGGGATTTTGATTTCTTCAGGTAAATTCCTAGGAGTGGAATTCCTGAGTCAAATGGTATTTCTATTTATAGTTTTTTGAGGAACCTCCATATTGCTTTCCACAATGGTTGAACTAATTTACATTCCCACCAACAGTGTGGGAGGGGTCCCCTTTCTCTGCATCCTCTCCAGCATGTTGTTTCTTGTCTTTTGGATGTTGGCCATCCCAACTTGTATGAGGTAATATCTCATTGTGGTTTTAATTTGCATTTCTCTGATCATTAGTGATGTGAATCATCTTTTCATGTGCCTGTTGGCCATTTGTATTTCTTCTTTGGACAAGTGTCTGTTCAGATTTTCTGCCCATTTTTTAATTGGGTTGTTTGTTTTATGGATGTTGGCACAAGTGAATTCTTTATATATTTGGGATGTTAATCTCTTATCAGATAAATCATTTATGAACATATTCTCTCATACTGTAGGATGCTTTTTTGTTCTGCTGATGGTGTCCTTTGCTGTACAGAAGCTTTTTTGTTTGATGAAGTCCCACTTGTTCATTTTTTACTTTGTTTCCCTAGCCCAAGGAGATGTGTTTAAGAAAAGTTGCTCATGTTTATAGTCAAGAGATTTTTGCCTATGTTTTCTTCTAAGAGTTTTATGGTTTTATGACTTACATTCAGGTCTTTGATCCATTTCAAGTTTACTTTTGTGT